CGCTTGCGAATATCTGGTGCTATAAGCTTGGATGTTTGAGTGGTATAATGGGTTGTGTGATGCATAATGGATCGGAATTGATAGGCGAGTCACAATTCTGGTTGGGTTCATTATATTCATTTAGGCGCAAATACCCTTGGTAAAGGTATGAATCCCCTCTTCTCCCCTCAGCTATGGGTTAAATAGTAATAGTTGTTTCATTAAAAATCTCAAAAAAATTCTTAAAATTTAAAAATATATTCTGGCCTTAAATAACCTGTAAAGGGTTGACAAGACGTAAAAACAATCACTCACTCAATAAATTGTAAATAGATATTGTCGATTTTGGACATTTACTGTCTGAACCCTACTAAAAACTTTGAGGGCTGAATCGAGTTTAATGTCCGAAACTCTTCGACTAAGGATCTTTATACTCGGTGTCACATCAGAATGTCAAATACCTAAGAACTTTCTATTTTTGACTTATGTTGTGTCTTGAAAAGTGCCAAGTGCAGAATTTAGGATATATGTATAAACACACGAGGCAACCGGAATAGGATGAAGAAAGAATCACTTACTGCCATAAGTTAGGTCTTTAATATACCTACAAAAAACTGTGGTTTCATATCTTTGATTTAATAATTGGGTGTTGTTCAAAAGTTCAGTAATAGATATTTTTCCTGCAAAAATTAAAAAAAAAAAACAAGATTCGTTCAAAGATTTGCAAGATCTGGCTTGTTTTAGGATTTTCCATTTAACCTTTAAGGACGGAAAAAACACATTAGAAGTCTTGGAAATGCTGTGCTTTAACCCTTGACCGTTGTTGTCAGGTCTGGCCATCACTTTAACACATCAACTATACTTCATCAAAGTGCTATCAACAACCACTATTGTTTCATTCCGTCACCTTTTTGCCTTTATCTATTATTACTTATTTTATTTTTTTCCGAACAAATGGAAAAAACTAAGTGACGTTTCATATGCGGCTTGCTTACAAATAGAATTGTTCATAACCATTTTGGTTGTCACCAGTCGAAGTGCAATTAAATGCACTGAAACAAAGTTGCATCTTTGTAGTGAGTAAATTGTTTTTGTCTATATGAAAAAATTATAATAAATAATTATTGCTCTACTATCGGTATTGAGCTCTCTTTTGACTTATTGCTGTGAACATTAGAATTTATATATTATTTTCGTTATCATTGCATTCGGATATATATATATATATATATATATATATATAGGAGAGAGAGAGAGAGAGAGAGAGGAGAGAGAGAAAGAGAATTAATACAAGTAAAAGGACTAAAAATGGATGTTACAACCAACTCCAGTTTCGAAGACAGACCCTCTAGGAATCCCTCCGTCCACTCGTCAGGGGATATCAGCAATTCGATGTTTATATTTTCTCTATTTTTCGTTTTCATATTCATTTTTCATTGGTGCATGTTTTGTCTTTGTTTTTTTTTTTAAAGGTGCACGTGTGCGTATGTTCGCATGTTTGTTTGTTAGTTTAGCGGTATATCAACACCTTATTAAACACCGTTTAATGCCGAAATTTAATTTTTTGGGGGGAAATTAGTAATTTTGTTTATAAAAATGTATTGCTGTTAATTTTTTTTTCTATGAAAATGCATTCCTCGTATTTTCACTATAAAAATATATTTTTATACTTTCATAGGCTTTCACCCCAGTTAGGGGGTCAACAACTTGCCCAGAGCTGGAACCCTAACAGCTGCTACCACCCAGCTATATTATTATTTAAAGAAAAATAAACAAACACACAATGTTAGGTGTAATAGAAAGGGAGGAGGAGGTGGATGTGAAGAAGGAAGAAGAAGAAGGGGGATGAGAAGAAAAGCAAAGATATTGTTAATTGAATCGTCATTACTTTTTTTTTTTTTATCCAGCCTCATATTAGCTTAAGAGAAATTTCCTAATATGTAAGCAAAGATTTCGGATTTCTGGTTTAAAAGGTTTTTGGATCCTGAAATGTCATAATTGTTATTTTTTCCTGTTGGCAGAAGTTGCAGATATTTTTGTGGTTGTAGTAAGTTTTTGCCTTTTTAAAAATTTTCCATCTTACAATCGGATCCCTTTTGTTTTTTCTTTTAAATTCCACACATGCTCTGCTAGTTTGGTAGAGTACCTAAGATTTGTTGCTTAACTGACGGCGACCTATGAGTGTACCATCTACGTTTGAAAGTACCTTTAGTGCATCCATGTTTTATTTTAGCCATTAATATCTGTTACTTCTGCATTATAAATTATACCTTCTGTTTTACAATCTCCATTTTATTTTTTCTCACGTGCATTGAGTACTTTTTAATACTACAATTTCCGAGTCTGATTCAACTCTGACCATTAACCTTTTATATCTATCTATCTATCTATCTATCTATCTATCTATCTATCTATCTAATTATTTATTCTAGAATTATAACATAAATATGTTATAAAATCATTACCAAAATATAGCCATTTTGTTTCAACACTTCTGGTGTCTTATCAGGTGATGGCGTTGATTATATTTGCTCTACTCTGTATTGAGCACTCTTTTAAGAATAGTATTTGTTGGTTATTGGAATTTATTCCGTATACACCAATCTTGTACTTGTATATATATATATATATATATATATATATATATACACCTAGTGAGCCAGACAAACCTACCTAGGTTTCACCTAAACGGATCGTCAGGGAAAGTTTGGCTAACGAGGCAAAGAGAAACACATATTTATAGGTGATAGCTAATATCATACCACGTGACAAAAAAACAAAAAACAAAAAAACCCTAAGTTTTTAAATATGGGTAAATATTTATTCAACAAAAAAAAAAATCTCAGTTGGAAAGTCAATAACGGAAAACGTCTAATTTAGTAGCCAAGATTTTTTATGTTTACATACATTGAAAATTTCAGTTTTAGAGTTTAATAGCTGGTTAGGTTGATCATATAAAGCTTTAGCTAATTTCTCCTCAGCACATAATTTGCAAAATTTATGGCCTGCTTTATATTTTGGGCATTTTTTTAATATTTCCCATTTAAGGATAGGGTCTATATTATCTTCTTGTTTGGTTTTCCATACGTAGGTAGATAGCGTATATACTATGTTTAATTTTTGCATTCTTAAAACTACTCATTTATGGTTATAATATTTTTTTTTAATTTATCCTGAGTAGCACCTATGTATGTTTTAGGTTTAGTATCCTCAGTAATTTTGTAAATTTTCACTTGAAATTGAGTTGTTACTCGTATCGGGTTTTTTTTCTTTGGGCTTCAGACCTGCATCTGTGCGATTTTTTTGTCGGCAGAAGTTCACGTTTAGCTTTAAAATTTTTTTTTTTAAAACCTTTTTCCCTCGAAATTGATTTGATTAGCAAATCAAAATTTTTAGTTTTTTTTTTAAATGTTATCTATCTATCTATCTATATTTATATATATATATATATATATATATATATATATATTATATATAGTCCAGTCAAAATAGTTGTCTGATATGATCTAAATACAACATGACGTGTTTATAAATCTCAACTGATTTCTGTTGATACGGAATATTTTTTTGAAATCTTCCTTTTTTAATTTTTGATAAGAAAAATGGACAAAGGAAAAAAAAAATAAGGAAAAAAAGTCCAAAATAAATTTTAAAAAAAGAAAAACAAAGAAAAAGAAAAAAAAGAAAGATTTATGTATATGGTTTGAGACAAACGTATCTATCATTATTCATTTTTGACTGTTTTTTCTTTCGTCTTATTTCTGTTGGTTTTTCTCGCAACGTCCAGATCGTTTTATTTCTGGTCGATTCTGCTTATTTAACCATCGTAGAAATAAAAAATTCATTTTAAATAGACGTGATAATCTAAAGTTGTCCAAATTTCTTTGGTGAAACATTGCCATTATTATTTTTTTTTACTAGTTTAACTTTCATCTTATTTCTGTTGCTTTTTGTCCCAAAGTTCAGTTCGTTTTATATCCGACAGATTCTGCTTAGAAATAGAAATGTAAATAGACGAAACAGTGTGAATCTCTCCGAATAACAGAGATGAAGCATTGTCATTATTATTAATTCTAATTTTTCTTTCATCTTATTTCTGTTGCTTTTTATCGCAACGTCCCTGTCGTTTTATTTCCGACCTATTCTGTTTATTTAACGTCTGCAGTAGTTCCAGGAAAAGAAGTTCCGAAGAATACTTCACATCATTTGGAAGACCTGCATCTCCAGAAACGAGGTCCTGTCTCGGATATCTCCTCTCAGCATCGATGCTATAATCCGTCAACGTCGCCCCCTCTTGGCGGGTCACTTATCCTGAATGCGTTCTACTAGACTCCCACGTAACATCCTGTTTGGAGAACTCACCAGTGCCAAGAGGCTACGCCGAGTCCATAATGAGGCTTCAAGGATCAGTTGAAGACACCCCTGACATTTCTCAACGTGTTGTTAAAATTGTCCAAAAATTCATATTTCATGCGTCTGCCACCTAGACCCCTCTGTGACTCTGGCTGACGATTCTTCAGGAGTAAGTCCCTTTTTTACAGCGGCAAGAGGCTTACCGATGACCAACATGACGCTTCATAGATCAGTTGAAGACATTTCTGACATAGGCGAACATCGACCACGAGACCTGGGAATCTGCTGCTGTATATCATCCTTCCTGGCGTAGGACCATCCGAGGGTGGAGCGAATTCAACCGTTAAGACGTGCGACGTGTGTCAGTAGAGCTCGACTCGCCCAGCCAGGTTCAACACACGCATTCATCTGGCTCCCAACTCTTCAGGAGTAGGTCGGGCTTCCGCAGCCATCTCCACTAACAACCACCAGAGGTGAAAAAGGAGTGTGGAGGGTGATCCCGATGGGAACGGGTGCCGACTACAGTAAATTATTATGCTGTCCGTCCGATTGTATATAACATATTTTTAAATTTCAGATACTCAAAGATTACAATTCGTAAGAAAAATATAACCTCAAAAGATAAGCATGAGCCATTAAGAGATGTGGAAAAGTTGAACAGAGATCATCATACTTATTATAAAACCCAGGTTGTGTGTGTGTCTGTTCGTTTATATATTGGATCGGATTTCCTACATTTTTCAACCGATTTCAACAAAACTTCACAGGACTACGTAAAATTATCTTGCGGTGGTTCTAACAGCGCCAAAAATTGAAAAAAAAAAACACAATTGTTTTTGCACGAAATCAATTTGAAAACACGATTAAGAGGCATCACTGTCGCCATAATGAAAGGGGGACAACTCATATCGAGTTATACTTATTATAAAACCCAGGTTGTTTATGTGTGTGTGTGTGTGTGTGTGTGTGTGTGTGTGTGTGTGTGTGTGTGTGTGCTCGTTTATATATGGGATCGGATTTACTACATTTTCAACCGATTTCAACAAAAAAATTCAATTTTTTTTTTTTAGGTAGTGTTTCTTATTGTCTTGCACACTTTTTTCTTTATTTTTACATTAAGAATGCTTTAAAAATTCCATTTACAAGACAATTGTTTATAATAAAATTCTATTCAATCGGTAGACTCATAACGATTGAAAACAATGTTTTTGTTTGATTTTGGGTTTGACCAATTCGTAAAAAAACAAACTAATTAAGACATGCGTGTCCGTCAACCTTAAACAATAATCTTTGTCAATTTTATTTTTCAGTCTTTATGATGGTCGATACTTGATCTATCTCTTACTGTTACATCCCCGGGCAACGCCCAGCTCTACTGCTAGTATATAAATAAAAAAGAATGAAATTGAAAACATTGGTAAAGTAAAAACAAGAAAAACGTTTATCTTTAAGAACGTCATTAAAAGGGATCCGAGAAAATAATAAGCAAGAGAAATTGATTGACCAACGACACAAATATTTTCGTATTTGATATTGCGAATGTAAACAGTTAGACAAGGTGTCAAATACTGAGGATATCAATTGAAAGTGTTAAGATAACCAAATTATCACCCTTTAAATAAATATCACGAGAAAAAACGCAGAAGTTGGGCAACGAAAAAAGCGAATATTTATTCCTCAGCAGTAATTCTATAGATGAAAGTAGAGCTATATTGGACGAACCTGATGGCTGAGCTAGAGGGCTAAGCCTCCTCTCCAATATTCTTAAATATTTTTTTAAGTAAATATAAATTTAATTATTTTCAAGCAAACAAAATCAATTTATCTAAGATAAAGTTAAGTGCTTATATGATCTTTTCAAATTATTATTATAATAAAAAAGTATTATAAAGTATTAAAATTTTATAGATAGTTATTTCTTTTAAAAGAAGCAAAAACTATATTACCTCATTTCTATTTCAAAAATTATAGGGGAGGGGTGCATATTTGACGAATTTTCCAACCTTGTCAAAATACCCAATTTTCCGTTATCGAATTTTCCGACTATATATATATATATATATATATATATATATAACATCCTTGTATAATATAATATATGTAATAGTAACACACACCCACAGCAATATACACACTTACACACATCATACTCACTCACTCCGTAATGAGCCAAATGATAACACACACACACAGCAATATACACGCTTATTTACATATCATATTTATTCACTAAGAACCAAATAACACACACACACACACACACAACACACACACACACATACACACACACATGCAAAAACAATAGACACATCCCCTCTCCAGGAACCAATAAAACTGTCAAACTGACCAGGGGAATTCAGAAAAGCATAGATCCATCCAGCTATTATCTCAAATAACAACTTAAGAGACTGTTTGACCAACACAAGGAATGTTAAAAGATCCATGGTAAAAAGATTAAAAAATTAAAAAAAAAAACAAACGAAAACTACAGACAAAAGTTCATTTTCTCCATCAAGACATTAATTTCTGTAGTTTACTGCTACCAGCAAGCAGAAATATTTCTTCTCCTGATGATAGCCATTTTGGCCGAAACTACTCGAGGAATCTAAATGAAATAATAATAAAAACAAACGAAAGAATATTAATCTACAACCCAGTGTCTGAAGATTTTAGTTTTTTAATTTTTTTTATTTTTGTTTTGTATATTCATATATATATATATATATATATATATATATATATATATATATATATATTATTATATTTATTATGAGTGATAATAAGAAAATCCTGTTGAAATCGTTTATGATCTCTTTATAATGAAAATAATATTAATATATTTGCTCTAATTTGTGTATTTGAGCATATTTATAAAAGTAAATTCTACAAACAGAGGATTTTAGTCCATCTTTTTCTATCATTTATATATATATATATATATATATATATATATATATATATATATATATATATATATATATATAATATATATATTTCTTATAAAGGTTCCAACGAGAGCAAAGTGTGTATAGTAAAAAGAAGAGAAAAAAGAAAGCGTTTTTGGTTGTAATGTGGATTTTTTTTTTTAATATATATTATGCTTTTATTTTCCATAATTTTTTCTACATAAAAAGTATCTTCGACCTTCATCAGGCAAAGAGTGGATATTTCCACATATTATTAAAAGGAATTAATTTTTTCTTATGTTTTTCGATGTTAAATATTCTCGATATTAGACATTCTCTTTTTTTGTTAGTGACCCAAATGTCTTTCTTGAACTGGCAGTGAAAGAATTCTGCGTAAAAGGTAATAAAACAATTAAGACTGGTCCGAGAAAGAGTGAGAAAGATATGTGTATTTTTATATTTTAATAACCCTGTGTGTTCTTAGAACTATTTCCATTTATTGTGTGTTTTTCAGCATGCGTATGTATACGTATATTCCCTCTCGATATATATATATATATATATATATATATATATATTTTATGTCTTATTATAAGGAATTAGTATACACATATGTACACATGCACATACACACGCATACATACACATACACACACTAAATATGTGGTGTAGGGTCGCATACGTGCCTGTAAGCAGTTTTGTTTTTGTCAATATATGTATATATATACCAGTACACACATACTGTCTTATTATAAGGAATTAGTATACACATACATACACACATATATGCATCCATATATATACATACACACACACAGACAATCACACTTCCTCGGTTGTTTAGGGTTTGCGCGCGTGCCTGTGAGCAGTCTATTGTTTTTGCCAATATGTGTATACATATTCGTGCTCCACATATATGTGAGCGTATATATATATATATATATATATATATTCAAATGTAAAAGAACGAAGAGTAAGATTACAGCGTTCAAAACATTAATTTAAAACAGACCTCAATACAAAAGTAGAGGCGTAAATATTTATTTATGATGCAGTTTTACATTAGAACATACACATACCCACTACAAAACTGCTCATCTTGTTTCAACGTTATAATTTTTATGTAACGTTTCATCAGGTGTAAAATCAAGATGTTTTATATATATATATATATATAATTTTATTATTATTTTTATGATAAGAGATTATAATAAAATCCTGTTAAAATCGCTTATAATCTCTTAGAATTAAAATAAAAATAATAATATATTGCTCTATCTTTGTATTGAGCACTTTTTTCTCTATGCTACGAACAGTGGAATTTTACTTCAACTGTTCTTTCTATTATTTGAATACACACACACACATATATATATATATATATATATATATATATATATATATATATAATATATATATAAAAAGATTAAAATTTATATTTAAACATTAATTTAAAAGAAGGCTCAATGGAAAATTAGCGCAATAAATATTTATTTATTATGTATTTACATTAGAACATGCACCTAATACTACAAAGCTGTACACCTTGTTCATTTATTTAAAATTTTTTTCTGACGTTTCATCAGGTGTAATTCATTTATGCTATATATATATATATATATATGTTGTCTCAGAAATATATACAAGCTAACAATAGTTAAATCAAGACCGACCAACACCACACTAGAATCGTGATGTCTGTTCGAGATTCTGTAGAATGTCCTCGTTCAGCCGATCTCAGCCCTTGAAAGATAAAGCCTACGCTACAATTAAGCGGCTTCTGACTGCTAAAATCGGACAAATCTACTTGCAATTAGAAAAAAAAAATTCTTAAAATTCAAAATATATTTCGGGTTTAAATAACACACAAAGGGGTGATAAACCGTAAAAAGAAACAAATCAAATTCGACTACACAGAGGCCTTAAATTGCTTTCTTTGTCTTATTCAAAATACATCTTTGTAAAGATCAATAGTGACTATTATATGCGTTTGGCCAAAATTTTAATTCGGTTTATTTGTACATTTTCGTTTTTGGCCAATATGTCAGAAATTCTATAGTAAGTAGCAGTGACAATAATCTCTCTCTCTCTCTCTCCATCTATCTATCTATCTATCTATCTATCTATCTATCTATCTATCTATCTAATCTATCTATCAATCATCTATGTTTATCTATCTATCTATCTATCTATCTATCTATCTATCTATCTATCTTCATCTATCTATCTATGGTCTTAATCTATCTATCTATCTATCTATCTATCTATCTATCTATCTATCTCAATCTTTCTATCTATCTATCTATCTATCTATCTATCTATCTCAAGTCTGTTCAGATCTATCTATCTATCTATCTGTCTATCTATCTATCTATCTATCTATCTCAATAATGTTCAGTATCTATCTATCTATCTATTCTATCTATCTATCTATTTTTATCTATCTATCTATCTATCTATCTATCTATCTCAATGGAGTAAATAGAGAGTCTGTGTCTATCTTATCTATCTTAATCATCTATTTATTTAAATCTAAGGGTATCTATCTATCTATCTATCTATCTATCTATCTCATCTTATCTATCTGTCTCTATCTATCTCTATCTATCCTAGTCTCTATATTTCTATCTATATCTCAACTCTTTGTCTATCTTTTATCAACAGCATCTGTTAATCTATCTATCTATCTATCTATCTATCATTCTTATCTATCTATTGTTCTATGTGTATTAGTCATTCATATCTATTATTCTATCTATTGATCTATCTATTTGTCATTTATTTGAATTCCTGCAAGAAACCAAACATCAGTTGAAGAAAAACAAATCAAAAGGAAGTCAATGGCAACCAAATGAAAACAGGAAGTCCTCGCACGAGAAAAAGAAAAGCGGTAAAAAAGAAGGAAAAAAAAAAAAAATACAAAGTTCAAAATCACATCAAAACCGGTGACAATAAATTGTTTCTCGTTGATTTTCTCAGACAACAACAACAAAAACTACTACTACTCCATGAAAAAGAAACGTACAAATGTTTATCTCTAACGTTGAACCCAAGCGAATTAAAATTCCGTCGTATTTTTTTTTGTCATTTTCGCCTTGTACTTTGGATCCTATTTGGAAATCCGGCACCATGGATTGTGTAATTTTTCCTCATAGAATTATGATACAGAATATGTGAAAAAACAATTATATTTCTATTACATATGGAGTTTTGTTTTTAAGTTGTTTTTTTAATCACTTTGTCCCAAAAGAAGGCAAGAAAGCCACTAAGACGAAGTGGGGTTAAGGAGTGTGAAAGAATATAAGAAAAAACACATTATTAAGGAGAGAGAAAAATAAAAGCACTGGAATCTGGAGAACAGACGATAACAATTGACATTGTATTTAAATGTTTGAAGATTAAACTTGACTTGAAATCAAGAAGCCGAAAGAGAGGTCAAATAATATTTTTAAAATAAATGTCTTTTAATTATTGTATTTAATTACTATATTCTATTGTTTTCAAGCAAATGGAATTGATTTATCTAAGTTAAAATTAAGTTCTTGTATGTTCTTTTAAAGTTATTATTTTCATAAAAAAAGTATTAAATAAATTAAGTTTCAGATAGTTATTTCTTTTTAAATAAGCAAAGATAATATAGACTCATTTATGTTTTAAAAATATAGCGGCGGAGGGGGTGGGGGCTTAGTTACCCAAGTTACCTACCTTGTCAAAATTACCGAATTTTCCGTTACTGTCAGGTAAGACATAAACGTATTAGGCTGAGTTATAAGTAATTTCCAAATGAAAAAAAAAGATTATATGAAGCATATACATGTATAAAAACTGTTGGAAAAAAAAAAGGTTGAACGTTTGGGGAATATATATATATATATATATATATATATATATATATATATATATATAAAATATATATCTGTTGTAACCTGGGGAAGGTTACTGAATAGAATAATCAAACGTACGTTGGTAATAAATGATAATACTTAGGACAAGAACAACACATATAAGAAGTGAGTCAAGTGAATTCCACAATGAATCTCCAACTACAGGATATCTACCAACTACCCCACGCGGTCAGATGTGGCACAAGACCGAATTTAATGTGTGGTATCCGAGCCCGTAGGCTCGGCCAAAAATTTCCCGTTGACCTCGTATAAAACGGGTTTGCGTATCTGTTTCTTAGACGGGATTCTGCCCTTCCACATAGGCTTGTCTGGGGATCCTCTCTGCCCGGAGGCAGAGAGTTTGACCAGAACAGCTGGACACGGATCTCTAACTGCAGACCAACAAACAGTATTTACTACTGTATTTATGCGAATGTGGACATACCCATTATCGTACGTTGGTATGCTAAAACAATATATATATATATATATATAAATATTTATATATATATATATATATATATATATATATATATGGAGAATGTACGCAAGGAGATCTAACGTACGAGCGAAAGCACTTATATACGACAAGTATAAGCAGTCGTTTGCCGATAGCCCCCCACGAGTGGACGAAGTGAGCCCTAAGGCTCGGTCTTCGAATCGTTGGTGCCAGGATGCTGAAGGTAACAACAATTAGTTAAGTAACAAAATTTTACGTGTATTAACTAAATATTTATATATTCTATAAATTATATTTTATTATTGTATTATATATATATATATATATATATATATATATATATATATATATATATATATATATATATCATTAATACAAAAAAAATCCAAAATCACCTTTTGTAGAAATTTAGGATTTATTATGTATTAATTTTTTAGTCTGTAATAGTAAATACATTGAACTATTTTTTGTTACTCAGTTTGAATATTTTATATTACTAGGATCACTTTTATTACCTTTTACTATATATATATATATATATATATATATATATATATATATATATTTTTTAAATATTATATTTATTATTTACTACATATATATATATATATATATATATATATATATATATATATATATATATATATATATAGAAAGAGAGAGGGAGAGATAAAGTTTGAGGTTTAGTTATTCTGTATGCCAGTTCGAATTCCAGTTGAGTTCATTACATTAACTTACGTAATAATATTCTTCGGAAAGGTATGAATATAGCTCTTCCCCCCACCAGTTATGGCTTTAAATAACAGGACAGAATAGCTCCTTACCTTTTAACTGGCAAATCTAAAGAGCTGAGAATGAAATTCTGAATTTAAAAAAAGGCACCTGCTGCCTTGCAGGTCCTGTTTTTTTTTTTTATCCAAAGGCTAGAAGAAGACAGTACCTTTAAAAACAAATCCAAATTTCCCAAGAGAAGAGAATGGGTAACATCAACATCCCTGGGGAAAAAGGTACCAGCAAGGCACTGAACTATTCTGCCTTGAATGTCACCATGAAAAACAATTGTGAGATGGACGGGAGTGGTGATCACAGTATTGCCCCTCCCCCCCATTAGCCTGCAATTTATTCAACTAAGGGAAAGAAAACCCTGATATAGCGCTTACGTCTCAAAAGCTCGCTAGAAGATATATAATTGCCTTTATCTTGGGTATGCTGATGTGAATGCCCAGAGAGTGGGTTAAACCCGGTGGAAAATCTATCCCCACAATAAAAAAAATATTATTTTCTACCGTCCTCCCATCTATGGGTTAAATAGTAGTGAAGACAAAGAATCTGTCTAAGATTTCTTCTTCGTGGATATCTGTCAATTTATTTCTGAGATGAGATATTATGTACAACTTTTTTTACATTATTTTCGAGACTATTGTCCCTCATCTTTGTCGCCATATTTATTACAACGTTTCGGCCTTTCAGTATCTGTCTATATTTCTGAGATGAGGTATTATGTACACTATTTACATTATTCGGACTATTGTTCTCATCTTTGTCGCCATATTTATTACAACGTTTCGGCCTTTCAGTATCTGTCTATATTTCAGAGATGAGGTATTATGTACACTATTTACATTATTCGGACTATTGTCCTTCTTTGTCGCCATATTTATTACAACGTTTCGGCCTTTTAGTATCTGTCTATAATTTCTGAGATTAGGTATTATGTACACTATTTACATTATTCGGACTATTGTCCTCATCTTTTGTCACATATTTAAATACAACGTTTCCCCACGGCCTTTTGTGCATCTGTCTATATTTCTGAGATGAGTTATTAAACTACACTATTCAGACTAATTGTCCTCATCTTTGTCGCCATATTTATTAAACATAATTTTCACGCGTTGGTTTAAAGCAATTTTCAGGTTTTTGGAATGTCAAAAAAAAATTTTTTATTTGGCTCACTGGGGGTAGACTGTTCGTGTTCCACGTGCCATGTCTAATGGATGTCAGTTATCAGTTTTCTCCTTCATTTTTCTTCGAAAAATCTCCACTGCCTTAACCAGGTATTTTTTTTCACCCTTTGTTTTCTGTTTGATTATGTAACGCCTTTATGTTTAGGTATTCTCTTTTTAGAATGATTTCTGGGATTGTCTAAACTCATAAAAACAATTATTAAAACGTTTCATTTGCCGTTGTACGCTTGAATCAAATCTTTTCTTGGTTGAAATGTCGAATGAACTTTACGTCTTTAATTACAAACTGTATAAAATTTAGAAATGGCACAGTTTTAAAATCCGTTGACATTAGATCCAGTGACAGGACCCAAAGGGTGTGAGTTCAATACCCGGTTAAGGCAGTGGAGAAGTTTCAGAGGGAAAAATTAACAGGAGATAACTGATAACTGACATCCAGTAAACATGGCATGTGGAACTAGAACAGCCTACTCCAGTGAGTGAAATAAAGGGTTCAGTTCGACATTCCAACTACCTGAAGAAGGCTGGAGCGTACAACGGCCGAAACCTTGTAATAAATATGGCGACAAAGGTGAGGACAATAGTCCGAATAATGTAAATAGAAGACAAAGTTTGTTTGGCAAATAATATAGGAGAAGGAAAACTCTTATAGAAAACCAACCCTTCTTTAGAGTTTGGTTGTGACGGAAATGATGCTGGATATGCAATTAAATAAAATGTCACTGGACATGATATTTTGAAGAATAAATTTGATAATCTAAAACGAAAATTATTTATGACTCAACCTAATACAGATGGAGTGTTGGGCCCCTTAGCCCTCCTTAAGGCATTCGCCTGAAAGAAAGAAAAAAATCTGATATAGCATTTACTCCTCACAAGCTCAGTAGAAGATTTAGAATTACTCTTAACTTCGGTTTGTTGCTGCTGATGCTCGGAGAGAGGGGTTGGATCTAGTGGGCAATTTTTCCCCCACAATAAAAAGATTATTTTATGACTTACTCCCATCTATGGGTTAAATAGTAGAGAAGACTATTCTTGTTTGGCAAATAGTATAGAAGAAGAAAAACTCTGATAGAAAACCAACCCTTCTTTAGAGTTTGGTTGTGACGCAAATAATGCTGGATATACAATTAAATAAAATGTTACTAGACATGGTATTTTAAAGAATAAATTTGATAATCTAAAACGGAAATTATTTATGACTCAACCTAATAGAGATGGAGTGCTGGGCCCCCTAGACCTCATTAAGACATTCACTAGAAGATCAAGACTTGCCCTTACCTTCTGATTGTTGTTGATGTGTCGAAGCCTGGTTTGAACCCAGTGACCATCCTTGTTCCACAATAAAAAAATAACATTTTCTACCTTACCCCCATATATGGGTTAAATAGTAGACAAGACTTTACTTGGTTGGCAAACAGGAAAGGAGTAGGAAAACTATGAATTTCTCA